GACGGTACATTTGGAGGGTGGGTGAGCTGGAGGTCTTAACAAACCACATTCCCCATAGACCAAATACGGCAGCAGATATTGCCACCAATACCCCCACATGACCCAAGATGGACCATATGGGGGTGTGATTTCGACGCCCATTTTTTTCTCATACTGGTATGAGCCCAAGTGCCCTGGGGACTCCAGGCCGAATTTCCTCATCATTTGGACCGTCCCGTGCCGGCTGAAGCGAATTAAGTCCAAAGCAAGAATGTCAATTTTCACGTGAAAAACCGGCAATTCTGCAGCATTTATATACCTGCACCCTGTTTTATTTCCTTGCCGCTTACGACCAAGGCCCTCCTCTCTTTTCTTTTGTTTTGCTCAAAGCCGTATAATTGCGAATCAGCGCTAAGTTTGGGCAAAATTCTTAAATTATTTCACAGAGGGGCCTTAAAAGTACAAATTAACAAGCATGGTTTTTTTAGGTTGGAGGGGGGGACTGTGTTGGATTTTTTTGTTCGGAAGGCTTTACACCTGTGAATAGACTCAAATTTTCACAATGATTTGGTGCAATTAAAAGCTTGGCGTCTAAGGAAGAACAATTGTGCCTGCATTCAAGACAGCCATCTGCGGAACTACAGTAAATGTGGACGGGGGAAGGAACGAGAAACGGGGGTGCCTACTTTAAGCCAAAATCTCTATCTCTGGAGAATATATATTTTTTTTAAAACTGCACACGCTCAGGCACCGGCCTGCAGTAGGTCTAGGTGAATATAGCACTGAGCATCTTGTTGATGGAGCACAGGTTAGAGTCTCAATACAGTTTTTCGAGGAGTTAAAAGCCGAACCATCCGAATAAGTGTATGTAGCCAACTGGGCAAGATCGCTTTGGCTAAAAAGCATTTACTCGCAAATAAATCCAGTCGTTCTCCTTCCGTGGCACTTACCCAGCACAGGGTCACGGTGACACACAAAGATATAGAAAATAAATATTATGAGCAACAGTAATATTTAGTTCAGGGGAAACATTCTCTAAACTACAGCGTTTCCCGCGGAACACCTTTTATGCTCTTCCCAGCCGGAGGTTTCCGCCAGCGACCGCGAAGTGCGGCTAAGATGTGACCCTCAGCATGAGAGTTTCCATTTCCTCCCATTTAAGAGTGCCCCCATACCCCCCCCCCCCGCACGCCCCATGGCGCAGCATGCTTTCGGGACCTGCATGCGGGCGGGTGAGAGCCAGCGTGCGAGTGCACGGGGTGTGCGCTTGTGTTTGTGCATCCGTGAGAGAGGGAGCGAGAGAGAGATGAGCGGCATTAGCGGCGTATAAGCCCCCCCTTCCTCTTCCCCCCTCCACACCACAAAACCCAAGTACAACACAGAGCAAACTTGTCAGTTCGATATTGACAGCCCATGACTCTTTCTGTCCCCATGATGACTCTCTAACAGCTCTGGGCTTCGATCGATTCCGGACGGTCCCCGAGATATCAGCCAGCGTCTCATCCCCTGACAATCGGGTGCGGCACCCTCCCCCCCCCCGCCCAGTTTTATTACCACTGTCGTTGTCATTATTATGGGCAGAGGAGAATATGGAGGTGATTGTCGATAAGCAGCGGGACGTAAGCAAAAAATGCTACTACCCACAAAATGTTTTTCTAGCCTCCCCGTTACAGTTAGCGCCACACCAGCTCTGCGTCCCATAAGGTCTAACAAAAAATCCTGACAGCCCACGTCAGCAGACAGAACGGCGAGGCGCTATCCAGCGTTAGCATGTCCACCGGCCGGCAGGAACCCCTGGCGACGGCCAGGGAGGCTCGGTGCCGCGGCGGGAGTGCGGTCAGCCCCTGCCTGATTGTTATTCAGCCAGGCAGAGCCCGACCTTCACAAAATGCCCGTGTGCTTTTGGAAATAGCTTATGATGTTTCAGGTCGGAAATTGAAAAAAGTACTGTACTGTCCCCCCAGTGACCAAGGGAATTTTATTCCCAAACTCCCCCTCTTTTAACCCCACCCCGCCCCCCCTCCCCGCAAGTCACTGTTCGCTCTGGAAGGCTTTAGCTATCTCAGTGACAGCCGATCACATGGAGAAAAAACGGCATGCGTGTGCTGCCCGTTCCTGGTCATGAGAGGCATCGGAGAAGCCGCCCATCCCCTGTAATCTGGGGGGGGGGTTTCCCCGGTGCCTCAGGCAGGCCACCATGCATGCCAGTGGCAGCTCCCCGACCCCAGGCTGCCGTCTCACGTTAATCTGTGAGGATGTTCCCATTTAGTCGTCCCCTCTGATGAGGCTCAGTCAGCTCCCCGGCAGTCCGTTTCCCCACCTGCCATATTAAATACTGACAAATTGCATTTGTTAAGGATTCAAACGGCTCATTTTTCCGGAACCTTCATGGCTTATTCGCCCGCCGCATCCTTCATCCTAACGACGTCGTGGCCGCGTTACCTGCCGCGTCCTTTGTCCACGGTCGCCGTCGTCATTTACAGCCACCGCCACCCCCACTCCACCCCCCACATCCGCCATCGGCTACAGGCAGCCTTCCAGAGAGAGTGGGCAGCGCGACAATTTGATCGGAATTTAATCGGAGTAATTGAGGATTTTCAGGCGTCCCGGCCAAGAAAGTCATTAGAGCTGGATAAACGAAAATCCGGGAGGGGGGGCTCATTTTTTATCAGGGGCCTGAGATCTGCATTGTTACGGCGAACTCTAGTATAACCAGAAATAATGCACATCCATTAGCTGAGATTTACACAAGCATACTGTACAAGCAGTCACATTACTTCATTAGGGTCTCCAAGAAGAAGCATTTCTGCCTGAAATCCTGCTCAGACACGGTGCCCGCTGCTCCGGATTTTCCACAAGGTGTAGAGGAAACTTGAGTCTTTGCAAATGGAATGATCATGATAGCAATGGGCAGAAAAAGGGTAAAGATCTATACCTTTGCTTGTCACTGGGGCTGTACCCTTGTATTTGTACTTTTTAAGGTACAGAAATGGACTCTGAAGAACATCCCAAAGGTACAAACAGCATTAATGTACCATCAATTGTACAGAAATGTTCCTCAGACCATTTCTGTGCCTTAAAAGGTACAATTACCTACAGCTAAGGGTACAATTGGCAGACCCAGTGACAAGCAAAAGTACACATTTTTACTCTTTTTTTTCCTGAGATTGCAGTTAGGTTGTGCACTGGAAATGGCCACTGCGAGTTTAGCTGTGTCGCTGTTGGTGTGGTCTGCAATAGCTAGATGGTTCATAATAAGGGTGGTCTCCATACAAGCTGTTCTCATCTCAGAAGAGAAACGAAACATCGTTTGTAAGGAGGGGCGAGAACAGATTGTGCCATCTGACCGCAAATCCTTACCGTGGAGTAAGCGTGTGACAGCGGGTTCTGTATGGCCTCATCAACATCGCCCGCCCCCAGAGTCCAGGCTGGACGTCAGCTACCAACAGCTTTCCTATCATTCCCTGAAACAGTCTTAGGAGGCATCCATCTTCCAGTGATCACTGTACTCTAGTGGGCGGGGCCTCAGTCCCTCTGATTAGAAAGTAATCCCCTAGGAATATCTTATCCACCCCTGCTGCAGAGCCCTGTGATTGGATCTGGAAGAGAAGGCCACAGGCATCGGCCATTACAAGCCTGGCAACAAGGGAAACTCTCAGTGGGTCTGTGTGGATCGTGTCACATGCACTTTGGTTTTGCAGACGACCCTAAAAGCGCTCGTTTCCCGCTGTCCCCCAAAGGCCTTCTCTTCACACCTGCTATTTAGCATTTTTGACTCTTTCAGTTGTTTAAATCAGCAGCACATGACAGCGGGAGCCCATGTGGGCATCGTGCCCGAGCATGAGAGTCCGACAGTGGTTGATCTCCTACCTTCTGACACTTACATCTCGACGGATATGTGGGCACCTGCGCCGCACACCTGTTCACCTGTATAGTGCAGGTTTTCACAGAGTGCTTGAAGTATGAGAGATGACCAGAGACATAAGGCACAAGTGCGACTTCCCTTTATACAACCCCAACCTACTGTGTTTCAAAGAGTGTAATTCAAGAATAAAGGCTGCTGTCTATATAGTTGCTATGAGTTGACAATGCCTTACAGGTGCTCAATAAATAACAAAAAAAATAAATAAAGAATGGAGGCAAGGTTCAAATCCCCAACAGTGCCGGTGTGAGCAGCAGTGCTATCCACTGAGCCACCGTAAAAATATATGCAAGTATATGTTCAATAAGGAATTTCATGGGCTAAATATTTCCAAAAAGGAAACTGTGACAAAAAAAATCCTCAAAATCATCCATCCATGTTCCAAAACTGCATAACCAGTACAGTATGAGGGTGAACCTGGAACATATCCCAGAATGCACTGGGCAGCCTGGGTGGTGTGTCACTCATCAAAATCAGTACCTTGAAAATATATACGTTTGCCACACAAGAGCAGTTTCACAGCAGAATCTCTATTTTCCACCTCAAAAGATGACACGCTGCAATGAGGGTGAGGGCATTTTCCCTTTTGTTTGTTTTGTTTGGATTCATTTGCATGCCTCACAATTAAAATCCTATACAGTCCTTTTACACCTCAAACAATAAAAGCAAACAGCAGCGTGAAAAGGCGCTTGACAGTGTTGTTCAGCCCCGGAATTAATGATCTGTTATTGAAAATAAGCTCGTTAAGCTGGCCGATGTGGGGGCCAGGAAGTAAAACGCCACTGCCTCCGGCTTTTCGGGGGGGGGCGTGGATAATGGGGGCTCTTAGAAGTGGGCACCCTGATTAGTAGGGACCTCCAGCGACAGCCTGCAAGTTGGGGCTCTTCAGTCCTGGGTGAGGCGCACTGTTCTTCTGTGAAGGAGAAGTTTGGTTTAGATTTATTCGGTCTGAACAGCAGCGTAAGAAAAAAAGACTAATAAATAACAGGTGTATTTAAGCTCAGGGGTGGGAAGAACTAATGTTTTTTTTTTGCTTGACAAGCCAGTAATTCTTTAGTCTGTGATAACCTGTTATGATGAATGCACACCTCTATTACAGCAAAAACAAGGCGGAAACTCCATGACCCAGCAAAACGGGGTCTACGAATCGGAATGAGGTGGCCAGTCTTGGGGGCTTAAAGGAGCCATCGCTGTCTCCCTTGGGCTCGAGCAAGGAGATCTGACCCATTCGGGAATCGGGCCGGTCCACAGGAAGAGGAGAGACAAAACGCGTGATGCTTTTTGGTACAGAAAGTGATGCGCAAAAAGACGCCTAATGGTTGTATACAGAGTCAGACAGCATTAATATCACATGGGGGCCTGTGTGGGCCTGGGGGTAAACTTCCCACAAACTCCTGGGCTTCTACACTGTGATTAGTCTTGCTCTTTGCTTTCCATTGTCTCTTCCTGTCTTGTAACAGGTGTGTCCGACTGCCGTAACAGAATAAAACTCTTCTCCGGACCAGGAATCTGGGCGAGTAATGATTTGTACTTTGCCGGTGTAGGCTTTTTAAAGAGAGAGATGAAGAAGAAAAAAGGAGAGAGAAAACGCAGCCTAAAGGTTGTGGGTTTGATTCCCCGGAGAAGCTAGCATCTGTGTTTTACTTAACTTTATTTGTCAAAGTGCAACAAGCGGGAGATTTTGGCAAGCAGCCGAAAAAGTGCAACAATTTGGGTTCTTGAAATATAAATGTAGAGAGAGAAATGAACATACATGCTGTGCTTGCTCTTCTGAAGCCCTAGAAAGGAACTTCATCCTGAGGGGGGAGGGGGTCGCGCCCTCCCGGCGATGATGGTCAGGGTCATAGGCGGGGGAGGAGGGGAGAGGAGCTCGCCATTCGGACCCACACAGAGAGAGCCAGACCGGCCCAGCCCTCTGGCCCCGAGTCACGCTTGGCTCACAGTAATAAGCCTTGACCGATGCCCACACAAGCCCTGCTTCGATCATGGGAGACTGACCCTTGTAGAGTCTCGAGGCAACACATGGAAATTTCTCACACCAAGTCATTTTGTGAGATGCTTATTAATTTTTCTCTTTGTTTGTTTGTTTTTGACCACAGTCAACTGGCCACCCTTCCTTCAAAATGCTATTCACTGGTACGCATGCTTTCATTCTACATGCTTGGAAAGGTAGTCTCACAGGTGCTGCGATACTAGATACTGAGGAAGCGGGAATCTGATGCCAGCAATATTTAAGTGGATAAGGGTCCCAAAATGGACGTGAGCAAGCATGAGGTACGATTATGACGTTGTGGAGTCATTCCAACCATTGTTATTCTCATGCTATTTTAAAGGAGGCTTTTTAAAATCTAACACCTGTCTCTTCAGTTGCATTCATATTTACACATAGAAGGAATCAGGACCAGAGTTAAGATAATCATCTCCCTTCCCGCTAGAGAGCCACAGGCTCTTACTAAGATTTTGTCGCAGTGCAAGAGCGCCCCCTGGCAAGACATTGAAGAACTGTTGATATGCATTTTGTTTTGACTCACGGGAGCTGTGAATTTTCACATACCACTCTTTGGGGGGTGAGACCTGCACACCCTCTGTCTTCTGAAGTTTTATTCCGAACGTGGGCGAGTTATGACGAAAAACCGCTGTCAGCTGATGTGCTCACAGACAAACCAGGGTCACAAGACCTGTTAAGTTTTAACGGATGACTTAATTGGGAGGCATGGAGGACGGGGGTGGGGAGTGGGCCTGAATTCAAATATTTATCGACTGTGTGCCTGTGTACCTCTGTTTTTAATGCTCTTTTATGTGTACATCAAAAGGGTTCATTAAAAATGAATCACACAAAGACCCTCCGACACGCAGCCCTCGAATTCTCCATCTGCATACCGCCCCACTGTCAATGGCGAGACAGACGGCGGTGGGCTCGCTCCCACACTCCCCGTCCACTTTTTTAGCCCGTCCCATCAATCTGGCACCGTCCCTTTCCCGTCCTTCCTGTCCCCTCCGACACAAACCACAGCCATCAGAGTAAATGGAGGGGGGGGGGGGGGGACAAAACAGAGTAGTCAGAGCTTCATGGGTGTGAAGAGCCTCGTGCGAATGCACGAGAGGATGAGTCAGTCACAGGGCACCCCCTAGACCTCCTCAGAGACACCCAACACCCCCAGACAACCCCAACACAAAAGTCTGCCCATGATTTTTCTTTTTAGAAATAAATTTCAGTGGGGCAGTTGTGGCTTTTTTTGACAGCACGGATTTTATTAAACAATCTCATCCCCCTCTTTCCTCCTCACTCAAATCTCCTTGAAGCCTGATTCTCACTTAAACCTGGATTTCCCTTTGTGCCAAATGTCAATAGCGTGCTTATCCCTAACCTAAAACCCACTACTCCAGTTTAATGTTTTTTTTTAAAGCCTCTGTACATTTGATACATTATTCACTGGTGTGGTGGGTGCATTCTAATGAAGCGGAGTGTTCTCAGCCCCGCGATAATTAACACCCAGAGCCAATAATGAAAAATCAAGCGCTAATGCCAAGGTAATTGAAGCAGGTGGCTTCACGTGTCACAGCCGCGCCTGACAGGTCAGTAGCGCCATTAAAATATCAAATAAAGGATGAAGCATGACGTCACTCGACGGTAAAGGATTCGGGCAACCTACAGGAAAGATGTACAACCTCTACGATCCATTTAAAACAATTTTAGCGACACTGATAAAGCAGAGCAGCCTCTCGCTATGCATACAGATCGCCCTACCTGTTATTTCATAATCTGTTGAAGCTTATTAATAATGATCGCTGCAAGCGTGGCATATTTGAATTTATAACCAAGTATTTTTAATGACTGCTACAACGACAGTGCAACAGAGAAATAATTGTGCGATGTCTTCTACTGCACCCCCGTCCCTTGCACTAACGATGATTTAATATTGAATTTGCACGATGCTTGCTTCTTGTCTGCTGGTGTCGTTTGTCGCGTGTCGGTGGCCTTTCCAAGAACCGAGCCCTCACTGCGCAGCTGGACTCCAGCGTCCACGACAGGGAGGAGCAATGGCACAGTGGTGAGAATTCCATTCAAACGCCATTCAAATGAGTATTTTTTTTTACCTGCTGTGGGTCTTATCAAGACTATTCCAGATGTTCCTGGACTTAGGAGGACCGTACACAACGATAGAGCCCCAGATGAAGCTCTCTGGCCCCCAAGGTGCCCCCTCCCCTCTCACTTACCGATTCAAGACATTTCAATGACTAATGATAAGGCTGGCCCCTCTGTATGAATTAAGGGCACTTTTACATCCCCCTCCCTTAAAAAATCCAAGGATCGCCCGTGGGACTTAATATGTTTTTGCTATTTTAGTGTGTTGTGCAGCAGACATAAAAAAACTGAAATAGCCAAACTAAATCGTTAGAGTAAAGCATGTTTAGAACCAACGTGAAAAACATTTCAATGAAAGACAGATATTGCAAAATTGAGATGGACTGGTACCTCGTCGTAGGTGTGTCTGGCTTTGTTCCTTCTGCTACTTGAGACAGACTCCAGGGTCACTGCGACCTCATACTAAAAATGCGATTATGGAAGATAGATTGAGAGAGGAATACATACAGCAAATAATTATACACCCTTCAAGAAAAGTACCAGAGGCACCAGACAGCAGAAAGTCCCTCCTTAAAATATTTATACCCTACCATTTGGCAGATGGCCCAAGTTTAGATTGTACATCTATTAAGGTAGAAGATGAAACTGCTGGATCGTTACAGTCAGAGACGGGGTCTTGGGAAACTTGAGTGGGTGGGATCACCACACACGATTACCACGCACGTTCAGTCACCAGCCAGTTTAATCCACTTCCCCCCATCGATCTCGCCCACGGTGGATACTGCAGCCTCGTTTGTGCCACCGCTAATTATTCTTATCTGAAAAGTAAATATCGGCTGCGAGACGGAGGCAGTGGACGCCTGGGTTGTTTATTTTGCACGCAGACGAAGACACTAGGTCTCCCACATGGACGGGCCCTCGCCAATGTTTGCCATACAGATGGAGGAGGCGTCTTAACGATGAGGAGCAGCGCATTCGAGGAATGTTCTAGCAACGATGAAATGTGAGGGGGTTAATGCAAAGGCTTCTGTATCGAAATATCACATACTTAATGGGACAGGGCTGCCGTTAGAGTCTTCGGATCCCCTTCACATCATAGTCCTAGGAAACCGGGCTAAAGGATGTCCTTCCCTAGCTGCCGTCAATTCCATAATCCTCCACGTAGCCCTACTGCACAGTTATTGGTTGCCCATGGTGACAGAGAATCCCTGGCAAAGAAGATTGTTCCATCCAAACTGTGCCCAGGAGGGTCTGTGATCAGTTGAGAAGGAATCTAAATGACCCCAACAGACTCGACTCCCATTCCCCCCCCACTGCGAAAATTTGTATTGAAAGGGTCAGGGAGGGTAAACAGAATATAATTAACCCAGCTTGGATGAGTAATGCAGGTAGGCCATCTCAGTCACCCTCTGGTAATTGACTAGGAGATAATCATGGAAAGCTATTATAAAATAGAATTAATTTAAAACAATAGCCGTGTCATTACAATGTGACTTCTAAGTTGAAGTACAGGCTTAATCGAGGAGCTTTCCACCAGCATCAAATTTGGTTTGCAGTCATATATCAGGAAAAATATTGACAATGTAGAGGCACCTTGATACTGGATACAGAAACTGTAAATGTCAAAGACAAGCAGTTTCACGCATTGGTCAATGCAAACACTTCAGTTCTTTAAATCAGTCCATGTCTTTGCCCAGTAGGGAGCTGGGAGGGAGCAAAAAACGTGGAATGTCTGTGGGTCCCCGAGAACCGGGTTGGGAAACACTGTTGTAAATCATTACACCCTTACAGTCGACATTTTGCAAAAGCGCATATTCATTACTTTATTAGTCTCTTTAGAAGGGGTACCTGTTTCCATGGCAACCCATTAACTAAAAATGACGGGGGATGTTACCGAAGACTTTTCTCTGAATCATTTGTCAATTTTACATGGATGCTAATGTGCTGCTTTTCAATATTCAAATAGTCTGAAAAATCTTTGCAGTGGTGGTGTGTTTAAGTGTCCCACCGTATTTTTAAGGACACGGCAGTCAGAGGAAAAGGTAACTTGGGGCAAACCCATCAGCGGCCAGCTGGTGAAACGTCTGCAATAAGTCAGGGGTTTAAAATGCAATCCGGGGGATGGATGCTTTGGAGACTGGCCAGAGAGCATAGAAAATGTGGAGGT